AAGGATCCTTCCGTAACCGGGACGCGTAATTTACACGCGACGAGACTACGTTACACAGTTCACCGACTTCGAAGATTACTTTTTAAGAGCCGCTTGTCCGCAATCCTTCTTCTTTCGTTTCTCGTTCGCTCGTCTGTCGCGCGCGACCCGTTATATCCCTACGTGTATGTTATATACATCGCTACGTCGAGCAAACAACCGACAATTAATTGATTCGGGTCGCTTCACGTCGAATCGATCACTTTTAGTCCTCGATGCCAGCCATTCTCATCAAATCGACCTGTGTTGCAGTCTATCTAAGCACGGGAGGTTTAAATCATCGACCTGATGTTTTAACACGATTCAATCGTAAAAATGGTTTTTCGACAGGACAGTGTTTAGGATTGAAACAGATAAAATTAATATCCGTATGTTTAACAATTGTAAAAATAAAAATTTTTTTGCGAAGATAGGTTTTGATGAAAGTTGACGAAAAGTACCAGCTTTAAGAGTCTCTATTTTCCTAACAGTATCGAAATGAGTAAACTGATGACTTGAACCCTAGCTTTTTTTACGCGAAATGAAACATTTTTCAGTTTCATTATTAAGACACTGGAGTTTATTAGTATAGCTTCTAAGAGTTTCGTTCCAGTTATCCGTAACGGAGAACATCATGCATCCATCAAACAAGAAAAATTACATTTACCTCAAATAGGACAAATACCAAAATATTCACACGAGTATAAGAAGCACGTAGAAGATATTAATAGTACACTCCCTCCCTCCTTCCTCGAAACAGTTTTAATTGATCCTGTGATTAATCGTTCGACCTTCGACTATATATCCTGGACGGTCGTGGATCTATTAAAGGCCTGACGCAGCCTCCCGAGCCGAAAGGATCATCGCATGGACACATGTCCGTGGGAGCCACTGGGTCCGCAACATCGTAGGGTGCTATCCCTCCTCATTCTTCAAAAATCGACCAGTGCATATGTCGACGCAAGAAACATAATGTTATCAAGCTGTCCAGAAGAGAGGCCATCGTCGGAGAAGGACGAAATCCTTGGGGGACCGTGTGCCCGCTCTCGCCCGCTTCGTCCTTATTGATATACCGAATAAACACACTTGGCAGCTAGGCAGAATAGCTTTACGAGGCAAATAGACTTGGAAGGACCGCGCTTTCCTACGCGTATCCTTTCTTAAAGTGGAAACGACCGTCGTAACTACTTTCTTCCACGATTTTTCGTCCTTTGAGGGACGATTAGAAATATTCATCCAGTGTCGAGTAGTGATTTTTATATATTCATGATATACACAAACTGTACTAGTTAAATGTACTGTTAAATGTATTGTGAAAATGAAAACAAGTTTTCAACTAAAAATTCCAGATAATTATTTTATTGACTTACATATATATGCCTTGCATCTATTTCACTATTGTTTGATTTTTCATAGCACAGAGATTATATTTTATCGAAATGTACATCAATAACTCCCTGAAACGATATATCTGTAAAGGAGATCCGGGAACAATAAATATTAATCTATCTATCTATCAACTTATATTTAGAGCCCCACTTTAACCTTCCAGATCGTAATACTCATGACGTAATATTTTTCCTCGACGTGCTGCAAGTGACCAACGATAAGAGAAACAAATTGTTATGTCCTTCCAATGGTTCTCCGCGGCTATCATTATTCCAATATTTGGATTCCGCGCCCCCGAACAAATGCCTGCTTAACCTTTGCAACATTATATCGCCCGTTCTATTCATCGCAGAAAACTTTGAGGATCTAACATCTATTCTTGAAAAATGACTCTTGCAAAATTTTGCGTAGCCTCAAAACTGCAGAAATATAAACTTTACTCCTTGTTTCTTATCTCTGAGGTCTCTATGAAATAATTTCTGTTGGAATAATTCAACCTTTAATTTTACTACATAAATAAATGTATTGAGAATATATGTACAATGTATGTATACTGCAGAATAAGAAGCGAGAAAATTTAGAATATGGCGTGCTCTCTCAAGAGCTATTGAGAATCGTTGCTAGCAAGAAATACTAGCTAAAAAGCTAGAAATACTTTCTAACTTTTATTAACAATGTTTATCTGTTAGTCTCGATTAGTTAGCTCATTCGTGACATTTAGAAATAAAATCATTACTTTCAATTAATAAAATTAGCATTTTATTCCTTTATTATACCCCCATTTCCAATCATTTCTGTCAAATGAAATACGTCAGATTCGCACGAAAATGTGGTATGATTTTCACTTTCAATTATTGCATTTTTCAAATCGCTGGGGACCAACCCATTTGACCCCTATCGATCGTCGGAGCGTTAGCGCATCCAGTCCAGTCGTCGGCTCGACGGTAAATAAAGATGGGTAGTTTTTCCCATCAGCGTATACACACGCAACCCAGCGTGTGTGCTCTTGGTCCAGACGGTTTTAAATTCCGCGAGTCAAAGCGATGTTTGACATGGAAATGCCCCGAACGATGCATTAAACATGCCGGCGCGGAGTGCTTCCTGTCTTTTCCACGGAAAAGAGCAAGAGACCAGCCTCCATCCCTTCGTCGACCGTATTGCCAGTCGAAAGAGGCCCGATCAGGCCCCCCTCGCGCTATTGTTCGAGCAATGTTTATTTAAGCAAACGAAAGGAGCCGTTCCACGAACCGAATCCGCCTTCCTGGACGTTCCAGCTTCGGTCTCGAATCGATAGTCGATGCCATGCCGCGCTCTTCGCGCCACGACGGCGAATTTTCACATAATACTCGCCGAAATTAACAGTCTCGTAATTTAATTTTAATTTATTTCCTTGCTAATCGTTTTTTACTTTCTATTAAATATACGAGTGAAAATGAACGGGGTTCGACGAGCGTTAAATACGGTGGTGTTTTGTTCTAGATCTAGGGCGAATGAATATCCTTTACATCCATTATCTATTTTTCTCGTAAAAATATCAATTTATGTTTTGATAGAAAACCATTGACAATAAAATAAATCTAAATTACAGGATCAATTATAAGAATAAGAGTGAAAAGGGAACTGTAAAAATTGATAAGAACTTGCTTAGAACTTAAAAGCTAAGTTACTCACACTTACCGAAAATGAATAATTCATTATTTATCATAGAGGTATAAATTTGAAATGCTTGACACCGATATTCTCATCAGAGAAGATATAATATCAGGAGATATTTGAACGTGTCAGACCGAAAATAAACCACAAACTATTTCAAAGGTATTCTAATTTTTATGAAAACCTCTTTATTCAACTTTGCATGGGTAATTTTGTAAATTAATTATACGAAACAGGTTTGGAAAACTGAAACTTTGTTGACTGCTCGCTACGATTTTCCAAAGATACCGCATGCGTCAAACGATGACTTCCGGACGGCTTTCCAACTAACGACGTTCAATTACCCTTCTAATCGCTCGATAGATTGTTGGAAACGCTGGTTCAAGTCTGATCGTATTTTTAGAAACGAGTCACGAGTCACGAATCGAAATCACGGCACGATAAAAAGTGAGATTTCGAGGAGCGATTATCTCTGATAGCATCTTGACAGCGTTTTTGGATTCGTCTTTGATTGATTTACGATTGGAACGTAAAATTCTTCAACTCATCAAACATTAGGTTACTGCCTTATCAACATTCGGGATTATTCTAAATATTAAGGCACATCGAAGCTAGAATATGTTAAGGTTATAAAACAGGTAAAAATCTATGCTCTAAAAATTGTAAAGCTGTCTCCACAAATTATAACGCCTAAAATATCTACTATAACGCGTTAACAAAATTCAGACAGGGTAGTTAGATATCACTAAATATATCTACAAAAGATCTAATTTATTTTCTTTAAACACTCCGTTAAAAGAAATTCTGATAAATTCCTTAAATAATGGTCTTTATAATATCACTCTTGAGATATAGTAATTCAGTATTAATGTCGCCTCGGAACTGTATTTTGATGATTCCTCGCGCAAATTATAAATCAAGAGGATACATTGAAATTCACGGTGCGACAACCACGCGCAAAAACGGTAATTGTCATCGGTTGCCATTACCAGTTTAAGAAGAAAACAGCAAAATTGACGAGCGTCGCGAATCAGAGAATCGTGATTGGCGGAGTCACGTTTTGTCGAGGGTCGGAAGCACGCACCTGCGAGGGGCAATTTCACCGGACCTTCCCGTAAAAGGAACTTCCCTCATTGTCCGGCAAATGACATCAAGCTTATTGCATTATTTAAAGAGGCCTCGCCTTAAGGCCGTTTTAAGCTACCGACCCTCACTTTTCCACACTGTTTACACTGCCCTCGCGTCGAGGACCTTTCGCCAAACTTGCAATCTCCGCGTGCACCGTGAATAAATTTATAACATCTGCAAGCAAGGAGAACAGAAAAATGTTTCCTCTTGCTTAAGTGTCTTTTATAATATCAGATGATCCTAGAATGCCAGGGAAATTATTCATTACAATTTTTTCTATTAATGTACGTCGAGGTTTCAAAGCTAGTTTTGGGCCTCTTTTAGAGTAATCTGGTATTAAAATAATTTGTTGGTATTTTCTAATATTTACCCAACACTTAGATATTTGAAAAGTGAGTACTGAGTTAAACATCACGAATGTTTCTGTTCCAGGACCATTCAAGAAAATTTCATCACTTCAGAGTAATCTGGCATCAAAATAATTTGTTTGGCCATTTTCTAATCTTCTCCCAGCATTTAGATATTTCAAAAGCGAGTACTGATTTAAACGTCACGAGTGTTTTTGTTTCAGGACCATTCTTGTTACTGCTAACAAAAAATATCATTTCTTCAGAGTAATCTGGTATCAAAATAATTTTTTTGGCTATTTTCTAATATTCTCCCACCGCTTAGATATTTCAAAAGTGAGTACTGCAAGCAAGGACTGATTTAAACATCACGAGTGTTTCTCTTTCAGGACCATTCTATTTACTGTTTACAAAAATTTGTATCCGGGTTGATAATAAAAATTATAACTAAATTTTGGTACTCACCAGGTGAAATTCCAAGTTTAACGTGGAGGTTGCTGGGGCTTCTATGATCAGGCGTGGTCACGGGGGCGGCTGTGGGTGGTGACATGTGGGGGTGTGCCGGTGTTCCGCCACCTGTCGTCGTCGTGGTAGTCGTGGTGGCGCAGGGATTCAGAGGTGAGGTCCTCTTGAAGGATTCGGTCCGCCACGCGACCTCGTTATCGCCTATCCAAACTTTACCTGTGGAAAAAAATGAGCATGGTTAATCAAGGAGTAACACCAGCATCTCTGAATTTTATTTATTCGGATTCTACCCATCTTAGTTTTTATCCGACCTCCGTAACTCGATCCTAATTTAGGAAATTGTTGACGCAATGAATTCGTATAATAAAATAAAACTATGACACTGAATACTTTATTTTATTCTAAATTCCTCTGTTCACCTATAGACCCGTATTTATGAATTTATAAACATTTCTTAGACCCTTAAGAAATTCCCTAACCCAGAGTAAGTGTTTGAGGAACGAAAGTACACGACGAGAAATTATTTCTACAGGCGCAGCGTTATCGAGGCTGGATCAAATTGCAAAAGAAGTCCCCGAAACAAATTCCCCGTCCCTCTTGTGTATTAATATAACGCGCGTTGGGGTCTTTGTGTCTGCGCAGAAAATAGCTTCTCCCCCTTCGCGAGCTTGCGTAATTAGCAACCCTCCGAATCCCCTATTCCTGCCAGTTTTCCCGGCTTTCCCTCGTTTCCCTTAATTTCTGGGAACAATGCCTGCCTCTGGATGTTGCTCCACGCTGCAGTGTCTAATTACAACGGGGCACAGACCGTTTCCGAACCCGTCACCCTCTTCTACAGGGTGTATCGAATTCTTCTGAACCCGAGACGCGAAAATCATTTACTAATGGAAAGAATAAAACAATGCTTTCGAAAAAGTTACAACAGTGCATAGAAAAGGAAATCTTGTAATTTGACCACGAGGATTGCTTCCTACCCTTTCTTGCTCCGACAAGATACAACTCACAAACTCACGCTTACTTTCATTTTACTCGCAGAAAATAAAGTTAACCCCCTGTGGGCTTGTGTCACATGCTAATATACCAACATTTTACCGAATAATTTTAGTTTTTTTCACAAATTGACGAATATGTCTTAATTATATGTAGTATCCGCGCCTTCCATACCCAACAATAAAGAGTCAAAACGAGAACACGAAACGTAGGGTACGGGATTGATCGCGTAAGTAAAGCGGTCGACTGTGGATCCGAGATCGTGGGTTGAAATCTCCGTGCTTTATTTTTCCTTTAGACTCCTACATATATAATATATAAAATAACCAATAACAAATGCAGAACAAATATTCGGCCCATAGTTAAATAGAAAGATGGAATAAAGTTCATCATCCCCCGGGTCCCATGGTCGAATCTCGGGAAATTCGCGTTTCCCAGACACCCCGTACGTGGCGACGGAAACATGCGATCACGGTATCACCCCCGCGTGCGTGAGACGTGAGTCAGCCTCGGTATTATTTGCTTGATGAATGATTTAGTCGGAGAGACTTAGCCCAGGCTCGATCCCGTCTCTCTCCGATCGGCATCTCGCACCCCGTCTCCTCTCTCGTTCGTTAACGAGGGCGGAGGAAGAAGAAACGCTGGCGACGGAGACGGGAGAACGGTCGAGGAAGTTCACAGAGCGAAGGGAAACAAAGAGAGGGTGGATACCGGAGACTTTCGCGGCGGGAGGCTGAGGAAGCGAGAGGAAACGTTTACAGAGAGATGCACAAGCGAGAGGGGAGGCAGCGGGGCCGAAGAAAGTGTAGCTGGCGCTAACTAAGGGCGTCGGCTAATCAATATCATCAGAGAATGGCCGCTGACCTCCTCCGTCCGAGCGGTGCGGTGGACCCTCCATTGTACCGTATGCCAACTTCGACCAGGCTTCGCGTGGCTGAAGAAACGACTCTTGGCTGGAGCAGTCTCGTTGCGGTGCTTATCAGATTGTCCTTCGGCGTGGGTTAATTATTCCTAGCTTTGCGACGTCGATGAATAGATGCTGCGTCGTTTGGGAGGTTCGAGACGATTTATGGTAGAGCTGCTTGGTATGTTTCTACGATGAAATTTTCTTTTAGAGGTGTTAAACGTGTCACGTTATTTCATCTTTCATCGGATACGAATTATTTTTTGCTCGAGACCTCGCTGATCATATTTAGAAGCATACATCGTGAAGCTTCATGGATTTGTATTAGAGTTGCTTGTCATGGTGTTTCTTAACTCTTTCTTTGAATGATATTGGGTTCTTTATTCTGGACAATATCAAATCATCCTATAAGTTCGTGTCATAAGTTATGTTTATATTTAATACAAAAGTACAGAAATTGTATAGAGGCAATATAATGACTTTGATAAAAATGTGAGAAAAGAATGTAAAAATACAGGGTGGTTACATTTCGTGTGGGATGTCTTATGACCTCTTCTCTGACTGTTCAAACTTTGGAAATGCCCACCTCCCCCTCCCGTCCTCAGTAGCTTTCTATCTTTTAATCGTGATATTTCAAGTGTATCTTAAAATAAATCGTAAGGCCGTCACGCGTGCACGCTCGGCAAGCAACGAGGAACGAATTTCAGCGAAAAATGATTATTCAGAATTAGTTGGAATTCTTCGGCGCCTGCCATATCTATAATTCCTCTCTAATTAATAGTAACGGCCATAAACGCCGGGTAATTGGACGGTTCTCTTCGCTCCGCGGTCATCTGAGTGAACGAGAGTAACGATCACTCGCGGTATCTCTGAATATTAATTATTCCTGACGTTGTTGAGCAATAATTGATCACCCCTGGCAATTATTTATCGTTGAGCAACGCGTTCGCCGTAGGTACTCGTTCACCCGTGAAACTACGTTTACTATCGAGCACTCGAATCGGCTTCGATTATCGTGCAATCGTTACGTGAAATAAATACGCTGCTCTGAAAGTTTGAAAAATATACTTTCTTTTGAATAATTTGGCTGTACTCATAGGACAAATGAGAAAATCAATCTGGCTCTGAAATTTCAATTTATATCGATTGATTTTATAGAAGCTGTGGATCGTTTTCGATCCTCGCAATTAGATCCTTTTCTGCGTCATAGGTGATTAGAAGAAATACACCCTCGATCATAAATATGTGGACACGTACTATCTTCAATGAATAATTAATATACACCGTAAATTATTACTGTACAACTTTTGTTGCTAAATTCTATATTGGATGTGTATTTAACAACATTTAATAATATTAAATGTTTTGAGTGCCAAATTAAATTTTATAATGAAACTATGGCATCGTTTAGATAAAAAAATTCAGAAAGAATGTTCAATACATCAAAAATATTTATGACATAAATATTACAAAATAAATGAGACAATATTACTTCGTATACAATGAAGAGATTAATAGTATCCAAGTTTGGTAAAATAAATTTCAGCATTATCTAGTTATCCCTATAGTTTTTTATCATTACTATTAATAAAATATATTCGCTAATGTAACATAAATATCTCGAAACATAAATGATATAATTGATATTAATATATTCGGAACTTTTTATGAGTTAATTGTTTTTCTATTAAGGAAGTAAGGATGTCTACATACTTCTGAGTGGGGATGTATATAGCAATGCATATAAAATTGAATAATTTCTATTCTTGATAATAGCCAGAGTTGTGTACTATTGATAACTATTAATTCTAATTTTCTCTGGATTACAGTAACTATTTACATCTCGAAAATTAATAAGTGTCGCGATATTAAAGCTGGTCCAGATTACATTTTCGAGGGGGTCCGCCAGCCCAGAGGCTTGTCTCCAGGCCACAATTCCAGATCCACGGCATGGAACGACGGTTCCTTTAATCTCGCAGTGTTTGCATGCTTCCCCGGCTCCTTTCTGCCAGACAAACGGAACCACCCCTAGTGGGGAGACGGAATCGACGTGCCCTCGCGTGCACATCCCGGAAAATTCAATTACCTTTCGCCTCGCGAGAATCGCGTCACGCGCCCGGTTGTTCGCGATCGCCTATTGGTAAAATGAGTCCTCCAATTACGGAAATTTGCCGACCCACATTTGTACCTCCACTTACCTCAATCTAAACATATCCTACTAGTATACATATTCACTTATTGAATAAAATTCACTTTCCTACAATTTTTCTTTTCATTGAGAAGTTCATCAAACATATTTGATACATTCTTTTTAACTGCCGCTTTCACTGAAACAATAAGACTGTATCTATGTCTACGGTCGATAGAGTGAATCTTTGTTTATGGAGATTGGTGGTCATTAGGCGTATGGAACGCTGAAGAAAATCCGCGATTATTAAACTCGTACTGGTGTGGAAAGTCGATGTGTAAACACGAGATCAAACGGCGCCATTACCCGCGAGAGTGAAAGCGTTTCCGGTCTCGCGGATTTTAGTATCCTAGCGCAATATGGCGGATGTCTGACTCCTCCACAATTGGATCTTAAATGCTACGACATTATTTACCATTGCATTTATATATTCTTATATTTCTTATTGGATTTATGTTTGTGTGAAATACGTCTAAATTCTTTGAATAAATAGGGACGTTTACTTTTTTGTACTTATATAAAACGAAGTAACAATTTTACTATATTATGCAGAAGTATAAGTGACATGAACTTTTAGGACGACCTAATATATTCAACATACATTATTGTATATATTTTGTATGTTTTTCATATTACTGTAGCCCATAAATGCACACAATTCACAGTCTAGTCAGATACAGTCAAACCCATAAATATTCGTACCCTCTATTGAAGAAGTTTGATTAAATTAAATAATAAGTTTGATATTACCAAATGAATTTTTCATTATACTATAAATATGTGTACAAACAAGCTTATACATGTATATATTTATATATACATCAACGTATTTACACAAACATCCACTTGTAAACATCAAACTTACCATTCAATTTAAACAAATTTCTTCAATAGACATAGAGGGTACGAATATCTATAGGATTGACTTTATTTCCAGCTTGAAATTCTTCGAACAATCGACGATCTACCATATTTAATCTCTCCTCCAACTACACGTTCGTAGACCTAAATTCGAAAGACAAACGCGTTCGCAAGGGTGCAAGACTGCACCAGTTACAGTCCCACGGAAATACCCTCATTTCTATTATATAGAAAGTCCCTGGAATGAACTCTCGAGATCTCAGTGAGCCAGGA